AACTATGATCCCCAGAGAGACACTATGAATTCTGGACTCGACCAGATAATAGTACAACTTTCCAAAAACCATGAAACCTGGACCCGACCAGATAGTAGTTACCACTTCAAGTTACTATGAAGCCTGGATCCGACCAGATAACAGTTAACTTCCGTATCCCCAGCAAGTTGTTGTGAAGCCTGGATCCGACCAGATAACTATTCAATCTCAAGAATATTCTCTACAAAGCCTGGAATCCGACCAGATAATAGTTAATTCGTCTTTTTCCCCAATAAGTTGTCGTGAAGCCTGGATCCGACCAGATAGAAGTTGACTACTTCCTCCTCAACAAATTGTGAAGCCTGGATCTGACCAGATAACAATTGACATTCAAGAGATATTCTCCAGTGAAAGCATCCTTTCGACAAAGTTTGAAGATATGCATATTCTTCATCCCCAATGCCAATCAGGGATTCAACCCCCTAGAATTTCCTCAGCAGCAGTCAGGGATTTATTTTCCCGGACAAAAACATACATCTCACATTCATACATTATAGCATGTACATACCATATGCATTTAACATAATACCACATCTGGTGAACATCATCCAGGCATCTGCATTTTACTAACTCTTTTCCTCACAGGTAAAACATCAAGTTTTAGTATAAATCAACAAGAGATTTGTGCTGATACTTCTTCCAGTGTTTACCAACATTCCTCCAAATGGCATCTATAAGCCCATTCACCATCCATCTTCAAGTGCAAATTTCTGGCCACTCTAGTGTTCAATCATCTTTCACCTTCAAGTCACGAATGGTGGATCCGCCAATCTAACTCTTCAAGTTTAAGAAGATTGAACATGGGCAGCTGTTGTACCCCAAAATTTTCCCTCTCATTTATCAAATATTTTTCTCACAAAGATCTCTCTTGGTTCAAGACTGCACTAGGGTTGATCAGCTCAAGGCACCTCCTTAAGCACTGATGACCCAAATTAGGGTTTGAGATTGAACAAGGATAATTGGACTCTCAATGCTTCATATGACTTTCAAGGATCATTATGGACCCACAAAATTATTCATGTCAAGTTTCAAGCCTTGGATCACATTTTTGCTCAGTCAATTGAGCAGTTGACCTAAAAATCAGTTGTATTGGGGAAAAAAGTCAACTATGGCCAATTTACAGTCAAACTTCATAATTTTTGATCCACATCAATATTATAAACTCATATGTATCATTTGATCAAGTTTGGACCATAATTCCTCAATAAATTTGATCAAATTATCAAAAGGGCAAAATGGTCAAAATTAGGGTTTTGACTGAGAAAGGGAAATTTCTGATTTTTGACTTAGCAATTGATCAATTGGTTTGAAGCGTGATCTCAAAAGTTCAATTTCACCATTTTGACTTAATGGCATGACTCAAAATATTGCTCAAGATCAATTGGATTGATAGTGGATTTTCAATCAACTGATCAATAGTCAACTGTACACTGAAATGTCAAACTTTGACTTTTTGGTCAAAATCAAGTGTCAAAAATCACAAGTCATCAAAACATGTCAAAATATGAAACTTGTTCATCAAGAAATCAAAAAGCCAAGATTTCATTTTGAAAAGTCAAAGTTTTCAAACTTAGATATTTTTCTAAGTGTTGAAAACTTCATGTTTTTTTACAACCTTGAGCCAATTCTTTACCATGATGCAAGATGATTCAAAAGAAACTTTCAACATGAAATTTGTAGATCTCCATGAGATATACAATATTGCTTTACACAACTTCTCCTATAAATGCTTGTATTTTAAGTTATAAATTCATGAAGTCATGGCATTTTTGAATAAACACTTAGAGAAATTTTCAGCAGTTTTGGTCAGGATTTTATCCCAACTTCTTGGCATTTTTTCACATAGTTACAAGATTATTTTTTCAAAATGGACAACATGAAAGCTATAGAGGGTGTTTCAAGCTTTCCAAAACATTCAAGAGCTTGAATTTATCATATTTGAGCTAGGAGATTCAAGGTCCTGAAGTTGGGCATTCATTTTTGTATTATAAGCCATTTTTGTTGAAGAACACATAATCCAATTGGCATGATGTGCTGTGTTGTACCCCAATTTTTGCCCCTAAGATCCCTCATCATACTTTTTATATTTCTCACGTAGTATTAGTCTCGTAATTATAAGACCGAAGAGCTTTGGCATTAGAGATTTGGCATTAGGGTTTTGGCATTAGGGGTGCTCTCTATGAATGGAGGATGTCGTCTTGCTCAAAATTGATTCAACTGGCGCTCTCATTTTTCTTGGCACGGGAGTAGGGTTTTGTCAATTGATTGAAGTGTACATGTTCAACAAAGCTTGATTCTTCTGGTTATTCTTCAAGGCAGTGAAATTATGTAATTAGGGTTTTATGTTCATGGATATTGTGGACTTCTTTCTTATCAAGCTATAAGGACACCTTCATCATGGACTTTTAAGCCATCAAAGTGCATCTCAAGGGATCTCAGGGTTTTGTGATCATCATCATTCATACGCTTCTGATTGTTCCTATCCACAAGGTTTTCTCCATGACATTTGTTTCAAGGTCATGGGTTGGCTACTAAGGTGCCTTAGCGGAATGAACTACAAGGATTAGATCGTGGTATAAAGATGATGTTGTGGACGTGTAATATGATCAAGGCATTGTTATTATTTGTTTCTTCAATTACAAAAGGCGGATCTGAGATGGAATTTAGGAATTTTGGAAAGGAGGCGAGAATGATTTAGTGTGGTTCTTGTGAATTCATTTTTTGTGGAATCACTGGGGATATTATTCAAGTTCAAATGTTGATCGATTTCCCTTTGACTTTTAACCCAAATTTATATAGCTCATAATTCAAATATAGACAAGTTGAAACAAAAGCCAAGCGTTATCATCCATCAAAATCAAATTACTTCTTTCAAATTCCATCCATGTTGGCTATGATTCTAGCCTAATTTGGCTTTGTCCAAATATGTCATTCATGTTTCAGATTTCGTCAAAAAATCCATTCAAGATCATCCAAGTTCATTCCTGTTTCAATTAATTCCATCAAAATAAAAGTTCATACATGCTATTAAAAAATTCCATTACAACTTCAAGTGAAAGGTACAATACCATCCTAAATCCCATCCTACACCTATGTTCACTATATCTTCAATAATACCATTACCACGCATAGAAAAATATACAAGTATGTTTAAGCCTATTATTGACGACCCACATTGCTAGGCCAAAGCACTATGATTTTCATGTTCTTCGAGCATTGTCGCCATGGCCTTTCGTGATCACTTCACAATAGAAGCATGCTGCTACAAAAAGCAAGAACCTGCAACATGAGGGAGCCCTATATCTAAACCGGTTCAGCAATACACCTGTACAGGAAAACATACACATAAACTCAATTAGTAAATCGAAAATAAAAATTGATTCAACAATAAATTAGTCCTAATCAATCCCAACAATCACAAACCCATCTCAACTAAAAAAAATCAATCCAACGCCATTTGGTGAATGCTGATTTCAGATTCTCGATCTTCCTCTCTTGGTTCATTTCGTGCAAAAAAAAATCCTCATCTTTTGCATCATGGAGTTGAGCTTGGATCTATCTATCTCTCACTTCTCTCTCTTCCGCGAAACACCCACGATTTGATATCCTTGTAGAGTAAGCCTAGATTCACAGAAAACTTCCACTTCTGCTGTTGTTTTGCTTTCAAGGAAATGGAGTTACCAACTCTGAGAAAACCCTTCATCTATTGGGTTTTATTTTCTTTCATTGTCTTTGCTCAGGTTAGCTATGGTTTTTACCTTCCTGGAAGCTACTTGCATACTTATTCCAATGGAGAATTTATAAATGCCAAAGTCAATTCATTGACTTTCAATTGAAACCGAGCTTCTCTTCTCATACTACAGCCTCCCATACTGTCGGCCCTCTGGCGGGATAAAGAAAAGTGCAGAGAATCTTGGAGAACTTCTTATGGGAGATCAGATTGATAACTCACCATACCAATTTCAAATGAATGTAAATGAGACGATATACCTCTGTACAACTTCGCCATTGAATGAACATGAAGTAAAGCTACTCAAGCAACAAACTCGTAATCTGTATCAAGTGAATATGATCCTTGACAACTTACCAATTATGAGGTATACTAGCCAAAATGGGGTTAAAATATAGTGGATCGGGTTCCCTATTAGGTACACTCCAACTGATGGAAGTGAAGATTACATCATTAACCACCTGAACAGAAATCCTCAACAGAAAACAGAATTTCAATAACAAAAAAACTAATTTCTCTAACTAACATCTAATTGAATTCCAGCTCAGCTCCAACCTCCTAACCGCCTCTAACAAACTTCCAGCAGAAGCATAATAGAAACAGAGAAGAGGGGTTCAGGAGAAAATGGAAAAAAATATAGAAAAACTCACCATAAAATTATCGGAGGAAAGTCTCTTTCTGGTCTCTTCTCCATTTTATCAATGCCGCAATCTTCATCATCAATCTTTGATCATATTCTCCAATCTTCATCACACATCATCTTCTTTACATCACTCTGCATCAACCTTGAAGCTTTAGTTATCAATCAGTTTGCATAACCTTCGTGAATCTCCATCAACTGTTTTCATCAACCCTCAACAATATTCAACAGATAATAGAAAAAGATGAGGGGGATACAATTATTCAACACAGAAAATCTCAAAAGGAAACTCACCAAGAAAAGGTGCAAGAAATTTCTCAATTCGTCTTCCTGCAATTTCTGAAACAGCACAATATCACTACTCGACTTCAATCTTCATTGGTCATCATCATAATTCTTCACTTCTTCTGGAGAATCACCAACCAAAAAAACCTTCATAAAAACTCTCTCTCTTCTAACTGCATTCTATACATCAATCCATAACATAATTTACCAATTCTTTTACAACTTCTTCATCCTCCATCAATATTCATCAACTTCTGAACCAAGCTCTTCATTACCATTCCTCAATATTCTTTCATATTCATCACACTTCGTGATTCTTCAAGCTCGCTTCAATTCATCATCATCAACTCCACATCGATACGCTTCGAGATTCTGCACAGTCATCATCGTCACAAATCTACAACATTCAACATCCTTGGTTCAAACTACGATGAATCCATAAGCAACAATCGCTTGCTATCAAAAACGCACAAGAAAGGGGAACACAGAAACACAAGTGAAGTAAGAAGAAGAAAGAATATAATTAACAGGAAAGAGAGAAGGATTACTGGACTCATGTCAAAATCGCGTCGGATTTTTGAAGTTGTTAGACTGTTGCTTGGATCCACCAATCCGCCTCCGCCCTTGAGGATTAAGAGAGGTTCAAGGTACCGTTAGAATCAGAGGAGAAAGTAGAACATCTTTCGTGTTGAGCGTTCGTCGTTTTGGCAAGTGAGCCAAGGTTTTGTCTCAGCATCCATGACCGCCGCGATGAAAGTTGTGTGCATCCATTGCATTTTCACGAACGCGTTGAAGGAGATGAGCTGAGAGGGTTCGCGGAGGTGATATACGAAGACAAGCGATAAAACGGAAAGATGGAGGCCAATGATAGAGACGGTGTCGTATGGTGCCGGCAATCCCCCTTTGCGGAGAAGAAGAACTTGTTTTATGAATTTCACAAGACGCTGAGGAGTCACGCCCAATTGAACCCTATCTCTACAGCAAAATGCAGCGTATCAACTTCATTCTCATTAGTTTTATAAAAAGAGCCATGTTAATTGGTGGATTTGGATAGGTTATGTTTTGGTCCGTTATTGTGTGAGAAGCCCGATATCCGTTTTTGGCATGGTTGGAGAAAGATGAACGAAAAAGGCTCTCCTTGTACCTAGAAAATTGGGATCAGCGTCCCACTCCATCTACACCATTTTCCAGTTCACTGCACCTCACATCTAATTCTTAATTTCTTTTGGATTTTTGTTTTGTAAAAGCAATTAATTTTGATACTTCCCTTTACAAGCTTTGACTGAAATTTTGTGTGGATATTAATATGTAGATTTCTGACTTGGTGATATTTTTTCCGTAATTTTTTATTAGTTTACTAATTAATCGGACTAATGCTTGTCATATGTTTAGAATAGGATTTTAATGCATTCATGTCAATTTCGTATCCTCGATTCAATTCCCTTGGCATGATCAGTGGTTTAATGGAACTTGTGATTATGCACCGCATTTACGACATGCGTTTTCCTTTATCTTAGTTGGATATTGTTTCTAACTTTGTTTGTTTCTTGGTGAAGCTTGCTCGACGCGTACTCCCTACTTTTTTAGTGCTTTCGTCTGCTCTTGACGACTTTCTCGCTTTGGTAGCCTCCGCTACTACCCATGTACTTGTTTTCACTTTATTGCATTTCGTTATCGCTTTCTAGATATCATTTGAAGTAGGAAATAAAGAGCGTGCGCTCGAAGTCGCTGTTTAAAGACCTGTAGCAGGCATTCCGCACTTCATTTTCTATATGTGTTGTGCTTGTGTTTGTTTACTTTCTTGTTGATTGATGAGTCACTCAATTTAGAAATTGATATCACGACTTCTCTCTCATTGCATGTTCCCTATAGGATAGTTTTGTTAGACTTTTGTTGGCATGCTAACTTAGGTAGGATCCCTCATTGTATGATAACATTAGGCTAGAGATAGGTTAGTCTTCCTCAGATGTTCTTTCCCTTTTGGCGTCATTGCACTTAAAACTAAAACTTCTTCTTTTTCTTGGCAAATGTATAAAGAATGCTAAGCATACAAAAATTCTTTTCATGGGAAAAAATACCAACCAACCCATTTCTTTTTGCCATTCGGCTTTTCTCTTCTAAGAGCATGTTAGCTCCTTTCCACTACAGGTCATAAGTCTCCAAAGGTCGAGAAGCAGTGGAATGATCGAACGCAACATTGTTCATTTAAAAAATACAAACAAACAAAATATATGATCCGAATTACGGTAGCTCTGATTCCTCAAAAAGGATACGTAGGCATTGGGGTAGGGCCGGAGCGAGTACAAATTATTTTCCCTACATTCTTTCTCTTTTCTTTTCATGCATTCCCTCTTAGTTTATAACCCTAAAGCATTAGATTGAACACCTCCTTTGATTATAATAATGAGAGTGGATCCCGTAGAGTACTATGGATGTGTGGGGTGCTAATACCTTCCCCCCGCGTAATCGACTCCCTTACCCAATCTCTCGGTCGCAAGACCTTGATTTCCCCCTTTAGGTTTTCTTTGATGATTTTCCTTTCCCTTTCATATGGGATAAATAAATTCACGGTGGTGACTTCATTAATTTTACCGCTACATGCTGCATAATATTACCTTTTAGGCCTTGTAACTTGCAAATCTTACCATAATTTAATGCTTACATAAACTTTTGAGCTATGGTCCATTTGGTTTAAGCATTGTCCAAGTGATCTTTCCATTTTTGGCACAAAGGCACCATTGCCATTCTTGCAAAGTTCACTTTAATCATAAAGTCAATTTCTTGACACTCTAACTTGTTATAATCACACTCAACTTCTACAAGTTAGAACAAACATGTTTAAAGTGATCAACCACTTTAGATAGCTTGGTACAAGCATTGGAAACATGTTCTTCAAGCTTGCTTCATGTACAATCTAACCTAGCCATAACATGTGATCTAAAATTTGAGTTTGTTCAAGTCTCAAACCTTTTCTATAAATAGAGTGGCCAATCACAAGAGAAAGAGGCCAGAAAAAAATAAAAGGAGAAACTAACACTCAAAATCATTTTTGCTGTCAAAAAACCAGATTTTTCCCCAAAACCTCCATTTTTGAGCTTTGAAGTTCAAATCTTTGTATCTCATACCTTGCAAGTTTTCTCCAAACAAATCATCCAAACACTTCACATACACCATATAGAAGTTGTTCAAACATAAGAATAACTTCTGTAACATCACTATCACCATCTTCCAAATTCAAAAACATACATTGCAACTTGACTTGGTTGGAGCGGTTCAACCATTTTCAGTACAAAAGGAAGGTTGGAGGTACTTCAAGAAGGTTCAAAGGAGCTCGATCAATCACCACTTTACACTCGGAAACACCCGTACGTCTTCTAAATCTTCCGCTTCGAGAGGTAAACTTTCTCAAACTGTGATATCATTGTTCATACATCATTTGATTTTGCACTCAAAAGATATAATAAGACAGATCAAAGAGAAAAAACTAACAAAAAGCCAGACCATAGGCTGACATGGGTGCCTGTGTCACACGACACGGTCCGTGTCAGCTTAGTTGGGTTGAAAAACATAGTAAAATGCAGGGACAGGGGATGACACGGGTGCCCGTGTCACACGACACGACCCGTGTCGATGTTACTGATGCGTACATGAGCAAACAAAGATGGACAGGGGCTGACACAGGCGCTCGTGTCACGTGACACGGCCGTGTCAGATTGGCTGGAACCAAAAAATGCAGAAAATTTATGGACAGGTTCTGACAAGGGTGCCCGTGTCCACTAACATGACCCGTGTCAGCTCGGGCACCAACTTTCTTGATTTTGGAGATTTTTTAGGTTATTTTGGACATATTGCATTGCTTGGAAATGACCTAACTTTATAAAACCTTTTTGTTCAAATGAAACCTCAGAAATAATTTTCTAAACAATTAACTTAGACTTAGGTTTTTCTTCAATGAAATTAATTACAAAACCTTTTTTCAACAAGGAAACCCTAAAAAGCAATTTCTCTCATTTTACATCTTCTTGCATATTTTATATTTGCATTATAAATTATGTAATTGTCAAAGCCTTGTAATAGTAATTAGGATTTAATTTTCTTGCAATCCCCATTTGTAAATTTGTATACCCCATCCCCATAATGATGTAATAACATAGTAATTTTACTTTCCGCAATTTATCACTTTCATATCAATGCTAGTAAATTAGGGTTTGTATGGAAATATAAAATCAATGTTTTGAGAACCCTAATTCAAGATAAGTAATGCATGTAAATCAAACACACTTGCACCCCTAAGGTTAACTCCACTTGTTGCCTTACAAAAATGGACATATTATGCATGTGGGATATCTTAGCAAAAGCAATCAAAAATAAAAGATCATAGTCCCTCGATGACGCTATCAATGTTGCCTTTCAAAATAATCTTATTCCCTAAAGAAAATGCTAAGGTACCTTGCAACATTGCTAATCATGGTTATACGATGACCCACGCCCGTCCCGTTTACATCCAAAGATAGGGTTACTTACCAAATCAATGGTAAGATAACAATGTCAAAGGAAAAAGGAAATGAACATGAAAGACTTTTGAGTAGGTAGAATGTTCCTAGTTACTTGCTCAATTTTCAAAACCCAAACATCCTTGCTATTTTCTAAATACCCACATTTCTAAAATATCTTTCAAACCTGAAAACATTTTCAAAAGATTAAACACTTTATATACATTCTTACGAATGAGAATCATTACAAAGTTTGCCTAAACGATGGCATCTTTACAAAATACTTTCAAAAACCACACAAAGCACACTTTCAAACAAAAGCAAGTGATCTAGCAAGTAACTAAGAGCCCATGGAAAACCATGGATGAAAAGGGTGATAATACCTTCCCTTTTCATAATCTACCCCTCGAACTTAAGAAATAATCTCAAAGGTCTTTCCTGTGATTTTTCGCCTTTCCTTTTGGATAAAAGAAAAGTCGGTGGCGACTCTTGCTAACCGCAACATTTGCGATAAAACGCAAAACAACCAAGTCAGTTCTCTCACTGTATCACACGTGTAAATCAGAAAAATGAAACTAATGTTTAGCCAACCCAATTTGTAAACCAATTCCACCGAAACTAGCTCGATACAATAAAAAACGACCGAGTTATGATTTTTTGAAAATGATGCGGGTGAACATCTATCATAATTTTCATGTGCGAACATACTTGATAAATCCATATATTCAAAGACTTTCAGAGTAGAACTGGCTTCTGGCCGTAAGAGACAAAAATTTAAAGGACGTCAAGAAGGAATTTTGGCCACCACAACAGGTTCAAAATGATGGACGGTCTTCCAGTTGTGAATTTTTTTAGTATGCGAAAGCTGCACTTTTAGCACACTTTTTCACTCGTACACCTTCAGAAAATCCACTTCTTCGAAGACTTTCCCTGAGTAATTTGATCTTTGTCCAAACATACAAAATGGAGTACTCATCAAGATGATTCTTTTGATGTAAAACAAAATAACTTGAGATGATGAACCAAATAGGGGTTACAATTTTTTTGAATATTCGCAAGACGATGAGTCGGCAATCAATTACAATGATATACGGTCTCAAATTCACCTAAACACCCAATTTCTCTGCAATTATGAGCGCACTGACACAC